TTTGTGATGATTGTTGGAATAATCACAAACACTAGTTTTGATTAGTTTATTGTTTTTGTGACAGTAATCAATTAAATCATAATTTCCATTGATCAAGTATTATAAGAGACACTAATCAATGTAATTGTTCCTCATATGTAACTGATTATATTGATTAAATAATCACCCAACTGTTGCAGTGACAAGAGGTCATCCACTCATTGAGGTCATGCTCACAATGAAAAAACAAAAATGTAATAATAATGTCATTTTATCAAAGGACAATTACAAGTACCTTCTTAGTTTTTAAAATTTTAAATTCACTGTTCTTTGTCATGACAAATTATTTTAGTTTTCCTGCTAATTCTGAGCTTTTACTCTCATGAAATTAATTTTATTTGGCATTGTCCTTTTTAACACCTGATGTACGAATCAACCAGACATTTCTGGGAGGAGAGTTCTGGAAAAACCCTTCCCAGGATTAAAGATACCTTTATTCTAAATACACCAAACAATTAGTCTCGATCTCGAGAATTGAACGAGCATATCCATTTCACATTATTCGCAGTCTACATTGTTTTATGATTAACTATCTGTGACTATCCATGGCTTTTAACCCAACAAAACACCCCACTTTTACACATTTTCCAGGATAGTAAAGGTCCTACAAACTCTACACTTCTTAGGAGTGGCATAAAATGGCAGCTACTGCCACTCACAAACTACCACAGTTATTGTCAGTGATAACTCTTCTGTTTACAGTGAAGGCTGAGGAAGTTACAAACAAACTCACATGCTGCTGTAAAGTTGCAAGGTGCAGTAGATACGGTTGTGATCATGACGGCATTCCCTTCGCAGTGAAACTAAGGTGAAAGATAGTAGGCACACAACAGATGAATTCCACAGCATCAAAAACTAGGAAATTATGCTGTAATGTTACCAAAGCATTGTACAAGCCAGGTGCTTTTGCCGAGCCAGCAGAAACAGGTGTTGACAGGCCTAGTGAAAGGCAGCATAGTGAAGATGTCTCCAAAGTGCAATGGAAGAAACAAATCCATATGTCTGGCAGGAAGCTTCTGCAAGTGCTTGACTTGGAGAAGCTAAAAGATTATGCACAGAAGAAACTTCTTTCATGGGAAGTTTGCTTGAATGTTGACAGCTGTAAAGAAAATGAAAGGTTAAACATCAGATTCTTCAATGACATTTTGCAATAGACAGCAGCAAGCATGTTATGTGGGACAGCTGCAGATGCTTTACTTGAACATTTCTGACAACAGATATCTTCTGAGACAGCAGAGTTTCAGCCTGGAAACCATCTATTATCTCTAGGTGGCAAGAGTGATAATATGGCAAATGACATTACAGGTTACTTTCGTACATCTACTAATTCCACTGAGAATAGAGTAGCACATGCATTGATTTGCTCCAGCATTATACAATAGGAATTGCGATGTCTGAATACGAATGACATCAAAGTTTTGTCAATGAGTGCCAACAGATTTCTGCTGGACATAGAGACTTCAAGGAGCTGTTATGGGGGAAGCAGACACAAACTTTACAGCATTTCTGTAAAGAGGCAGTTGACACTGCAGTTTATTTTATTCTTTCACCAGATAATGTGTCCTACTTGTCTTGGAGCATCAAAAAGGTTGTCATTGATGGCAAAAATAAATTTTTCCCCTGCATAATGCAAAAGTGGCTGTGAACTACAATATACAGTTCATACACATAGTCGATACCAGAAGTAAGTCACCTTAACTCACGGAGATTCAAATCTCCAAAAAGCTGTGGATTATATCACAGATTTCCCTGTCAATGATACCTTCGATGTTATTAAGCAAATCATTGAGGCAGAAATTCCTTCCAATGGGATGCACAAGGGATTTTTGTAACAGGCAGAGTTTGTTCACTCATCTGTGAAGTATAGATATGATATCCCTATTGCTTGCAGAGACAATGTTTGTGCTACTCATGATATCACCTATGGGCTAGGAGCAGCAAACCAGCAAAACACCAACAAGGAGGTCAATTGCAGAGGTTGTCTGTCCACATTTCCATTTCTTTGATGAGTTGAAGAAGGCATTATTGGTGATATTGCAAATAAGGCTAAGCTCTTCCTGGGAGATCGAATGCACACCTGAAATCAGCAGCTTGAGACTCAAAAGGTGAAATCTGAAATCAAGAACCACTGTAAAGCCAAAGGCATGTGTGACAAAGCCTTAGTAGAAACAGGTGTCAAAATGAAGCTTGATCCCATCTACTTCAGGGAAAAAATGTTCAATCATTGTGGGTAAAGAGGAATAAGCTGGCATGATGCAATAGTAGAGTACTATGACATAATCCCTGGTGGAGAACAGCAAGGGGCAGTCTCACCTGTTGCAATGTTGCAGAAGAGGTACTTCGATCACATCTCCAGCAAGGATAACAAACAAGATGCAGCACCAGTCTTGTCTGTAATGGAGGCAATTTTGCTTCATCTGAAATGAGATCTTCCAGGTTTCAGATGAATCACCTTGCAGAGTGACAATGGGAGCTGTTATCAAAATGTACTGGTGTTGCTCCTCCTTCCAGCATTGAGCTAAGTGCACAGGATCCAGATTGTCAGATTCATTCACAGAGACACAGGATAGGAAGTCATTGTTAGATGTGCACTTTGCCAAGACAATGCAGGCCTTCAAGTCATGACTGATTGAAGGGAATAATTGCATCATGCCTATACAAGCAATTACTGCATTGATGACTCATGGTAGAATGTTCAACTGTGACACTGGAATTATTGAGCACGACTGTTAGCAGCTGACTGAAACTTAAGCTGGTGGAAGACCAGCTTAATAAGTTTATCAAGCAAACCAATGATATGTCTTTTATGTACAAAGACCCTGTTGGCAGCTTTTCTCTTCCTACATCGAAGAATTATGCTTTCTGATATGCCAGATTTCTCACTTTTTTGCCTATGCTTACTCAAACATTGGACATGAGATTCATGTGTATGTCAGTCTGGGAATTAATCAATGCATCCTGAAGTCTGGAAAATCCCAGGGAGAGGAACAGGGAAAAGATTCAGAGGAAGAAGTCAATGAAGGTGAAGATGATGCATATGAAGATAAGTCTGATGTGTGGCTGAGTTGTGACACCAAAGATAAGAGTCAACATATGACAAAAGTGGTTGCGACAGAGCTCAGGTTGGGGCAGATCCTAGGTTTAGACTATTGTCTGGTGTGAGCATCCTGACACAGGTACAGCTGAGGTAGAGATGGTGTAGGTGGAAAGCACAATGATGCTGATGCGAAGAATGAAGTTGAGTCACATGACGTATGATCCTATGCTATCAAAAAAGCCCTATTTTTGTGGTAGTCTGGAGTACTGAGCATTGTTAAGGTCAGGAATGGTGAAGAGAACATGTACAGCTCTGTCCCAAATGACTACAAGCTTGTTTTCTCATTCCCATGTGACTGGGGAATTCGACCATGCAGAGGCCAACTGTATGGCAGAAAATCCTTTCACATATTCCATGATGATCTCCAAGAGCTATTTGAATTTGGTGAGATAGATTCTTCTCACAAGAGGGGGTTCAGGAAGGAAGCTAGAATTTCTGGTAAAGAAGTTTCCAGAGAGATATGATCTTCCAGCCAAAAGTGAAATCAGGGAAGAGATAACTCTTTTGAGAAAACTATCTAACAGAGCTGCAAGGTATTCTAGGAGTAACATATTCACCACATCTCAGCTGTCTGTCTTGGTGGAGCTTGTGCAGTCCACACTGACAACAAATCCAGGCGCAGGACTCGAGATTTTCAAGGATAAGTTTACATATGAGCTTGGAAATGAGGGCATTTTGTCTGATCAGCAAATTAAAAATTACTCAGCTCAAGCATGCTGCTAATCAGGACACCATGGATGGTAATGTGGGTAATGAGGAGTCTGTTATGAAATAATAAAGCTTTGTCTACATCATTCATTTGGTGATGAAAACTGCCTTAGTTTTGCCTCTCTGATATCTACTGTAATTATACCTGTGTCTCCCTGTAGTGTCTTTGTCTGTCTGTAATCATTTCTCTTTATCTGTCTCTCTATCCATGTGTGTGTAATTACATTGTTCTTCTGCAACAGTATCAGTTGTCTGTCTCATCTCTCCTTGTATGTGTGTGTCATCATACTCTTGCTATTCTTACTGTGTGCCTCTCCAACTTGTCTTATTTTTACCCTCTGTGGTTGTTTATTTCTGCTCATCTGGCACAAGAAGTGGAAAAATGAATAAAAAAGAAGTAGAAGATACATAGATAATGAGAACGATGATACAATGCATTTACACTTGTTGCAGCTGTTTGAGCACTTCACAGAGAAAGAGACAGAACTAGAACAGTTATTACTCTATGATACTGTAGCAGAAGAAGAGGAGGAGAGGACAAGTCCTTAAACGTTTTCCAATCATCATTTTTTTTATCACCCAATCATAATGAGACATTGAATGGGACATAAATCACAAAACAATATTTAATATATACTATGAGTGATTGTCACATGAGGGATGCCCACCCCTTCCAGAGTTCACATACTTACTGCCTAGTGTTATGAGCATGACATGTTGTATCATAGAAAACTATGCAGATTTGAGCTTTTCAGATCATTCTCTTTCCTGGACTTTAGTCGATTTTTGAAAAAAAATATTCCCAGTATGGGTAGAGGCTGTTTTTTGCAATTTTGGTCTGATTGATTCATGCATCAGGTGTTAATAGGTATAGATGTTCACTAAGTTCTAAAAATGTCTTGTACTGATACTTTTTAATACAAGCACTTATTATATAACAGTGTAGTCAGGGTTTATTATAAGTTGTCATAAAAACAAAATTAAAAATTTAATGAGTAATTAGACAAACTGATAAACACATCTATAGTACTGTCTGGTCTAATAGCAGTTTCTTTTATATATTTACTAATCCACTGAATAAACTGACTCTGGAATATTCTTTACAAATATGCACATAAGTGAATTATGTATATAGTTATGTAACTCATATCCAAACCTGATTCAGTTTGCGAGACAGATCATTGGTTAAACATTCTTCTTCCTGTTCGTAATTCAATGCTAGTGTTTCCTTTTCCTTTTTTAGGGATTGGATCTTTTTCAGCAATGTATTACTAATGTACTCCTCCTCTTGTTCAGCTTTTGCTTGCTGAAATATATTTAACAAACACAAAATTAAAATGAACAGAATATTATTATAAACTTTCTGATTCATTTCTTTGTGTTGAATTCAAAAGTTAACAGGGCACTATTTAAGATTTGAAAAAGAAAGTTTTAAGCTCCAATCCAAAGTTTTATTTTTCTAACAAAGTTATGAGTTTATGAAATGATTTGCCATCAGCAGTAATGGTGGCTAGCACCTTACAAGACTATGAGAAAAACAAATGATTTTTGGAGGGTGAGTGTGCTAGGACAGCTTCAAATGGCCAAATGGTACTTTGTTGTTTATACATTATACTAGCTGAGATACCGGTTCAATGCAAGGGGAAGACATAAGAGAGCCTGGAAGTGACACAGGGAGCCAAATTTAAATGCTGACCCCCCTATGTCATTTCCTGGGGGACTTCAGGGTACATGTCAAGTTTGGTGACAATCAGTCCATAGGATTGCCAGCTATAAATAGTTACACATAAAAATGTTTTGTCAAATAATGGTTCAGATAGTGTTTTAGCATTGTTCTTTTAAATTGCCTAGTGAATCCAATCCACTTTAATAAACTGTTGAAGACCTACTCTACAAATGATGATGAACTTCTCTAATAATCTAGGACTACCTGAAATCAAATCAACTTATTTCACAAAATAAAAACAAAAGCTAACAGAATGACAGATTCATTGTACAATCTTCTTGAAAAACCCTTATCTATCTCTTTGACTTTATTTCAATTCAATCACTATTCATCACTAGCTTCTAATTGACTGGCCCACTCATAAGCTAAGCCTTGTTCTAGATATTTTGATATGTCTCTGGATCATTAGATCATCAATGTTCCACAGTTTCCACATGATAACAAACAAATTACAACATTAAAAATATAGATTACAGCAATGCCCCTTTCATGGTTAGTAGAATCCCTTGAACAATCCTAAAAAAATAAAAAAAACACTACACTAGATAGTCCACTGACCAAATATTTTTGGTTTTGGATTTCTCTTATGAGGCCTATGGTATATGGATGGGATAGCATCTTGCCTTTTATTGTCACTGACTATCCTGTTGCTGTGGGGAATGTTTCCCAGGTAGAAGTTCAGGTGAATCCATGCTGGTTCCTACCTTGATGATCCTCTGGAAGCAGTCTTGTCAGGTTGAGGTTCTGCTGACATGTTCTTGCCTGGAGATATTCAGTGGGCCATTCTTTCCCAAGCTGATCATGGTGGATGACCTATAGATGGATCATCTCTCCTCCAAACACATCCTTAACTTTGGAATTTGTCCTCTCATGCAACAAGAACTCTTCAGCCATACCATGACACATAGATGAAATCCAGCTTTATCAGCACTTACAGGATCAGTTTCTTTCACTGTATCAAAAGCTGATTTAAGTCTTTATGAGTAATCATGTTCAATATTTTTATTCTTCACATCCAGGAGAGCTCTTTCAACTACTAATCTCTCATGACATGCTGGACTATTTGGTCCCAATATGTTCCATTCACTGTATGAAAAACTAAATACTGCTATTAACTCCTGATATGAGAATCACACTTCTTGGTGATACAGTGACTACTGTCTCAGTCTTCACTGGACATTCACTGCTAGCTTCTATGTCATGCACAAGAATTTCCTGGTCATAGAAAATGAAGCTATCTGAAGTTAGCTTAATTTGTATCCATGTCTATGTATGAAATTAGTTCCAATAATCACTTTTCCTTGATCAGAGATCAATTTTAAGGAAATTTCCAGGTTGTCCAAAGAATAACCTGACCTGTATCAGAGGTTTTCTGAAAGGGTGTACTGGTTGTCTAAAATAAAAAAGATCACAGACCCTCAATAAAAATCCAAGTATGACAATATTGATGTACAAAGACCCTAAAAATGATCCAATTACAAGAAAGTGTAATTAATGTTTAGTTGGCAATTTTGCATCTTTATTCATCTAATCTTTGACACCTTATTTGCTGGGAAGTTTTATTACATTGTAAAAAAATGAGCCCAAACCATGCTTATGTTACATAATATCTTAAGGAGACAAACAGTCAATGACCTGTAAAACTTTTAAACAGAACAGTGATCTTAGCCAATCACATTCAATGTTTTCATTCTAACCAAGTACAGTCTGTAGTAAGACTAGACTTGCATTGGAACTCTCATACATACTATACACAATGCCTGAGAATTACACATGTACACATACATACCACTAATATGTCTTGTCATTCATACTCACAGCTTGTATTGGCCTGGAGAAAGGCAAAGATAGTTTTATGATATTTATTGTTATTCTGTCTTGTAATGATCAAAACTTTTATAAACTTTTTTTTGTTTGCAGTAATCATTATTATGTTCTGTTTAATTTGTGGATTTTTCCACTTTTCTCATGGTAGCTAGTTCTTCCATATTTCCTAGACTCGATTGCTTGTGTCTGTCTAATGTTAGCCTTAGGCCTATACATACATAGTCGAAAGGAAGTCAGTGTTTTCAACTCTGTGACGCGTAACACTGAAAATTGAGTCTGATTTTGTAAATTTGATCATTTCAGTTCTTACCGAAGGTTTGTCAATAAGAGTTGAGACAGCCAAGTTAGTTTTGTTGTTGTAAGCATCTATACAAGAAATTAATCTCACTAAATATTTGTGTTATTGGCATTCGTTTCTGTTGCAAATTCCTATCTGCCCATATATTTGCATACAAATATTGTGCAATACAGTAACTGAGCTGAATACATAGTAGTATGTTACCACACATAACCTTTCACACTCATTTGAAATCCATGCAAAATTTAAGTGCATAAAGCAGCACAGAGGTGCAGCTTTCCATGATAAAAAGTTTAATGACTAAAACAGCCAATCACAAAAGCAAAAATTTCCTAACAGTTTCGGCCATTTTTGGTGGATTGTACCAGCATTTCTCTTGTATAAAGTACAATCTTTTTTCAAATTAAAAGAATGAGCAAAAAAGATATTTTTGTGGGGGTTCAAATTTGATTTCTTAGTTAGGGAACTTACCAATGATTTTGATTGAGGATTGGAGTCAACATTACATGTGTGGTGTGTGCATGGATAAGTGTACAGTAGACTGCAATGTGGTTTTGAGTAAGGGTCTGTTCTAGGACTAGTCATCCTTTGGACAACATGATGATTTAAGTTAGTCATCCGAGGAAATTTTTAGTGATCTTGGATTACCGTTAAAACCGAGCACTGTTGATTATCCACACAGTGTGAAGTCTAAAGAAGCTACCTAAGATAAAGGTAACTTCCACATTCTCTTTTATTGTTTGCATCAATCCCTCTTCTTTCTTCATCCCTGAAGGCAATTTCTTATCTTTCAATAACAAATCAGGTCAAATAATTGTAGCTGTAGAGCCACTGTAAAAAACCACACTACAAGGTTTTCCCATCAATAAACCCACAGACTCGTGGACAATTTTCCTCAAATAATGAACTTCTTTTCTTGTTTGGGATAAATGGAATATTCCCAGTTGAACTTCATCTCTTAAATCTAACTAGTTCCAGTCTCTTTGATGTCCGGTTAGCTCTTTGTTTTTCCTTTGATATGTTTAGGCTCAAAGGCACATCCATGGTACTTTTTTGTTAGCTCAATTACAGTTGTTGATTTCTTATAATCTCGGCTGTAATGACCAGGTTCCCCACATCTACAACAGTTGCCTCTCTCTGGTATCTTTTTAAAGGAGCTCTTGTTCCACACAGGCCTTTGCCTGTGGTTCCGGGCAATATGTCTCTTCAAATTACACTTGAAACACCTAATGTCTTGTGACTTATTTCCATTGTTCTGTTTTACTACTTGACTATTTAATCCTTTCAGTTCTTTTAGACTATCTTTAGACTATCTAACATATTATTCAGGTGGTGGCAATGTTGATAAAACTGTAAGCCCTCTGTTAAGTGTCTTGTCATGACAAAATTAATATATAGGTGTTCTTGGTTCTAATTAGAGATATGTTTAAGTTAAAAACTAATAAAGTAATGTAATTACCCTTATACAAAACTTTGATGAGGGCTCATTTGGAGTATAATATGCAGTTATGATCCCTCACCATACGAAACAAATAAACATGCTTGAAAATTTTCACCCATGAGAAGAAACTGGATTTGATTCAGGTATTTACAATTGTTAGAGGGTGTTGGATAATCAGTCTTTCTCTGAATTTTCTGTTTAAATAGTAAATTAAAAGGGTTAGAAAAACAAATTTAGATATTGCACTAGTAGTTTTAGCTTTTGTAACCAATATGCAGACTTATTTTTGAGACAAACAAAATTTCCAGTAAAAGCTGTAAGTTTATGGAATGGTATGCATGATGATGTGATTTTACTGTTAGTTTAAATTATTTAAAATTCTATTGGATAAGAACATTTGTACACAATACAGTATATAGATGTGAAGTGTTATAATTATATTTTAATGCTGTGGTGTAGAATGTATAATTTACAAAAGCATTCAGGTTTTTAGGCTTAGAAAAAGAAATGAAAAATCAGGCTAAAGTTTATTTAAATATTTGAGTTTTGTAGAACATTTTAATATTGATTTTTTTATTATTTTATTAAATTTTTTGGATGAGGGGATGATCTTTGTAGTCTGGGTGGTCTTCTCTCATTGTTTTTCTTATACAATTTATACATGTATTTTGACAGCTATAATTTATAAAAATATAATTAGTAAGCTTGTCACACAGCTATAACCCCAGTACTAAAAACTAAAACAATTCTCCTCTAGGTTTTCTTTCTTCAAATTATATGCAATGTAAATGTTTCAGAAATACTTGAGGAACATCTTAAGATTGAAGCTTTTGGCCCTGAACAGACTTAATTTAAAACCTTGATCAATAAAGCTTAGAATGAGTCAGTAAGGAGTTTTAAATTTTATTATTAAAATGTCTTTTCACACCAAGGAAATTCTTATGAATAGAAAATTGTCAATATGATTTTAATTTTTGAAAAGGTTTTTGGAGAATCTAGGACACTATTATAATTTACTTTTGTTGATTGCAGAGTTGGAACCTGTTGTCAGTCATTCTGAAAAGCTTTTTCTTGGAAAGTTAGCATTTAAATAATAATTCTTTGCACAGTTTCAGTAAAGTTTTCTTGCTTTACAAATTTAAAATTTTTACAAGTCTCTTTGGATGAGAATACCCTAGTTGCTGTTGTATTGTGATTTTAAAGATGCCTTTAAAAAGAGACATAAGTAAATCCAAAATTATGAGACTGGCAAAAAACTGACTGTGAATGACAGCAGAGATGATAATTGGGCATTTTTCCAACTGAGAGAATGCTGCTACTGGGATCCATCTAAGGCCTGTTTGAAGACTCTTGTTGTTTATAATTAGTTATGTTAATTATTTGGATAGCTTTCTTAATAGTAATAGTTCAATATTTCCTAATATTAGAATGGTTCTCATATTTAAAATAGTCTTGACTGGCAATCATTGTGAATGGACCAAAAATGCAAAAAGAAAATGAAGTTTAGTATTGAAAAGTGTAAACTTATACATGTGTGTAGCAGCAGCATTAGTACTGAAGAAAAACAAATATTTTTGGTGTGGTTATTCATAAAACTCTAAAATGCTATTTTGTGTTTAGTTGTAATGAAAAGAGTCAAGAGATCTTTGTCCACTTTACAGGAAGTTTGAATACAAGGATTAAAAAAAAAGATATATATACATGGAAGTTATGAGGACAAGATTAAAGTTTGAATCTTTTTCTAAAATTTCAAAAAGTTCATTCAGGTGCAAAATTGGCATGAGGTTTAGACAGTCTTCCTATGGATGGTTAATTAGAGTAGTGAAATGGAAGGATTTAAAATACAAACTTGAATATTAAAAGTAATGCAGCAGGTTTAAACTTTGGTAGCCTAAATATATATGCAGACTTATTCTTTAACAGAATAAACTTTCTCTTTTGGTTAAGTTATAATTTAGTGCAATGAGTTGCAGTACCTGAGTATGTGCTTTGTACAATTTGTTTGAAGTATCTTAAATTTGGTTGAATAGATGGAATAATGTGAAAAACATGAGTATCAAAATACACTGTAATTTATTGGAGATAACAAAGCATGGGTCTTACAAACTAAAAACACAACTTTGAAAAAAAACATACATTCTGTTCTCATTTGTATTTTCAAAATAATTTCCGAAAAATTTCGTCTCTCATTGTCCAACCCAACTGACAAGATATGGCATTAAATGTCGAGCCTCTCTGGCAATGACTTATGAGAGACAACAAATGGATCTTACTCCTAATTTGAATCTAAAAGGGTTAAATTGAAAGGAATGTGGGGGTAGAGGGGAGGATCTGCGGTTTATGTGATATTGTCATAGAAATTAATTTTTAGGCCTATTGGTTTCTAATATTTCGCCAGCTTTCGTCGTTCTTTAACTTTCAAGTATAGATAGACAGTAAGATATCATGCTCATTTATAACTTACTCTAAATCTTACGCAATTAGTACAAATCACGTTAGATTTCATACTGTTGCACATGTATGCCATTCACTCGTGCAGTCAGCCATCAACCCACGTGACATAAATTGGCGGACACCGTGATTCGTGAGCATATTCGCACGGGGTAGGTGAAATAATATACTGATAAATTTCAAATGATTCGATAGACCGTGTTTCTAAAATTAGCGTTAACGACTTAATTATTAATATTATATAAGTAATTTATTATTGAACACCTACTATATTAACGCTAGCCTGTCTGAGTACACGGTTCCCCTCTTGAAGACTTTTGACACGTAGTTTGAAAGTATCCAATTCTATTTTTAACACTCTGTTTTCTTGTATCAACGATTCGTTTCTTTTTTGAAATTGTTCTCGGGTCAAAGGAACTGGCGGAATCATCAAACCTCCATCAACAGAATTGCTATCACTTTCATTTGCACTGTCCGCCATTACTGTGGAAAAATAACATATATGGTAGTTTTGTAACTTGTAAGGCGTAAACTATATTTTCAATGTTTATTTAGGTGCTAGCTAGAGGGCGCATGGCGTTAAGATCAATTAAGTTTATAGAAGTAGTCCTAGAAACCTAGAATGTTAGGGAATATTAGTGACCAAGAGATTATCCAAAGAGTGTAGAAACAAGCTTAGTCCATAAATACGAGAAACGGTGAAGCAATGGATCAGTTTTTTCATCTGCATTCTCCTGTTTGAAGAAAAATGATGGTAATGAATTCCATGGTAAAGAATCACGGGCAAAACCCTGATATCATCAACCTACAACACCTACAAAGCTATTACTAAGTAGCAATTGTGTATTTGCCCAAGATAATGGATAGATGTTCCAAGATGGCAGACTTAAAGCGATGATAGAAGGATAAAAGTATGACGTCTCACAAAACATGTGGTACTTGATAAGAACTTTGTTTTTCCTGCACATTTTGAGCTTGAAAAGAAGCAATACCCAATAATCAGTAGAACGACGGTAATAGCGAACATTCGACACTTTGTTTTCGGTAATGTACGTTTATTTGTCGGACGTTTCGGAATATTCACATTCCATCTTCAGCGACTGTATTAATTAATCGATAGTATTAAATACACATATTCATTCAGTTGGAACATTTATAGTAGCATGAGGCGAAAGAAAAAACACTTACGAGTTTTGGAACATATGGGAATATCGAATAGGACTGATAATAAACTATCAAATCCACCTGAATCAGCCATCCGCTTACATAGTGAAAATAACAACCACCCTATTCTGATTAACAATATTAAAGTAATTTCGACCGGTTCATCCAGAACTATAAATGCTACTATAAATGTTCCAACTATATGAATATGTGTATTTAATACTATCGATTAATTAATACAGTCGCTGAAGATGGAATGTGAATATTCCGAAACGTACATCACCGAAAACAAAGTGTCGAATGTTTGCTATTACTGTCGTTCTACTGATTATTATCAAATTCCGATTCCCATCGAACCAATCTGAAGCAATTCTTTTAGTTAAGTTGGCTGGACATGTACCAAGGTCTGGTCTACTCACTAACTGCAGGAGGGGATTGTGCATACATTATACCATTTTTGCTAAAGGAAAACAAAATAAACTCCTTCTTACAAATCCATTTTCCTCAAATTATTCACTGTACAAGGTGCACATTTTATTGTAAAAGGCAGTACAAGTAAAAAATATTGTTGCGCCAACGAGGTCACGTGACTAGTGTCACGCCACGTTACTACAAATATCCTGTTCCTTCGTGAATGCCCTAGCATTTACTAGATTGGGGGTAGACTGGTATATATAAGATGGTTACAACGTGAAGGGACAATGTGTGTAGGTAATGAGTAATTGAACTGCAGTCAGAGAGAGACGTATTGTTGAAATCGAGCTCATGAGACGTGAATTATAGTTTGTTATAGCGCGACTGTTGAAGTTGAGTGTATCTTAAAGTTGTATTCGGAAAGAATAAACCAGTTTTATTTAAGAAAGGACTTGTGTCGCTAAAGTTTCGTCGGAACGAATTTACGGAAAATCAATTAACAAACGGAGACGTAACAAATTGGTGTCAGAGAGTGGGATAAAAAAAAAGAAAAAATGGAAACGAGAAGCGGCAAATCAAACTACAGCATAGCAGACTTGATGGCAGCAATACAAGAAAAGCAAAAGAAACAAGAAGAACGAGAAAATAAACAAGAAAAGAAACAATGATGGATGAGCAAGAGTTAAATTCTGTCAGTACTTTGTACAGGGACGTATTTGATCTGCTATTCATACAACTCACATACAGTACTTTATAATGTCACAAAGGAGACCTGTCATGACTCACAGAATTTAATTCCCTTATTTGTTCATAGGCTCATTCTTTACTTGACACTTTTGTCCTTGTTGCACTTCAATACCATCCACCTGATTACAACTTTTTTTTCTCTTGCTACCACATTTTTGCTTTATGCTACTTTCAACATAGTACATCAAGAAAAAAAAATGTCCAGAGACCCAGACATTCCTTTCCAGGCATCTTCTCAAACTCACTCAGTAGCAACAAGAGGTACCTTATCTGTTCATGGAACTGATGTTTAGCTGTTATCCTTTCAGCTGACTCAGTAAAGCACACTCCATGATGCAATACTTACTGCTTCTCCAGTTCAGGTCTATCATCCTTCTGTTTCATTGCCTTTGTTGTGCTTGCCTTGCCTGTTTTTCTGTTTGCTATGTTAATAAATCAGGTATGTGTTATTCTATCCATTTTACCTGTATAACATAATGTCCCCACCAATGAAGCTTGCAATA